GATGTTCCGAATTTCTATGAAGTATTAAGAAAACTCGGTCTTATTCATAATCAGATATACCCAACACCCTAGTGAGTTTTCCAAGGAACAAGGTGAACACACTTTTGGCCGCCCATTTTTTTTAGTTTCAGTATTTTTGTAAGCTATAAACAACTCTGTTTTTTTAATAGAGTACCCTAAAGTACGCACCTAATTGTCGCCTTGATCTTGTGACATGAACAATTTCACCTAAAATATCCTCGCCCTCTTTATCAGGAGATCAGCATCTGAGCCTGTCTCATACTCGTCAAATTGTGGTGGACCGACTTTACCATCAGGCCAGCCACATCCACAATGGTGACTGCTGTCGCATGTTGAACCTCCTTCCCCAATCCTTCGCCAGTTCTTTCTGCACTACTTTTTTTCGTCAGTCTCTAAGTTCACTTTTGTGCAGTTTTATTGCTGATTGGCGAAGCTCCTGCCTGTCTTCAGTTGTCTAACTTCGAATAGTCCTTTGCCTGACAGCTATGACAGAAGAGTTATTTTCAGCCAGTTTTTACCCTTTTTTGTGCTTTGTTTTTTCTGGTTGTTTGTTTGTTTGTTTTGTTTTTGTTTTTGTTTTATTTGTTTTTTTTTTTTTAATCTCGGCACTAACCTGTGCACGCAAGAGGTTCCGTGAATCTTATACTGGCAAACTTTCGTGGGCAAGCGAAAACTGCTTGTTTATGGCCACCATCTTTGATTTTATCCCTAAGGAAAATTGGGGAGAGTAGAAATATCAAACTTAAGGGTGAACGTTAAGGAAAAAAGAGGGAGTGGGGGGAGGGGTAAGGGGAGAAAAAGTGCGCCTGCCGAATTTGTTCATTTTGGACCCCGTTCGCTGGCCTCTGATTGGTACTAATAAATTGATACCTGCCTGTCAGAGAGATTATAACTCAATTGATCTCTTTTGTTTTAACGTAATGTTGGACAGCAGCAGTGTTGCTTTCATTTCATTTCATTTGTTTGTCTTTTAGTCACTCACATTACATAAAAATAAAACGTTACAAGAGGTGTTAATTAAAATATGAAATGTTGTGACAAGGAAGCCTAAAGAAGCTGGGAGCTATATTATCATGCTTCGTTAAGCTATATTACAAAGGCTTACTTGATTGAAGAGTGTGCAGAAAACATAAAACTTAGCGACAGAACGACTATCAATGGAATAATTTGTCAGATCTTTTTTTATAAAAATTATGGAAGAGAAGCTGGTTAGTGTGACTGGCAAAGAATTCCAGATTGTTGTTGTTTTTCATTTCGGGGTTGAGAACTGTTTTATTTTATGTTTATTAATCTCATCTGGATGTGGTTCGTAGATTATGGCCTAAGGTGGCTAACCAAAACATATTTCAACGCTCTCATCGCGAAATCTCTAAGCAATTCGCGCGCGAACATGCAAGAAAAGTTGCATTTACAACAGTGACTTTATGATTTACATTTTTCAAACTCTGTCAGCAGCAAGAAAGGAAAGAGCGGTTAACTGCACTAACTAGGAGCGTTTTGTTGTGTTTTTGGGGAAGTGTTCTCTTTTCTTTCTCTCCCCCTTCTTCCTCGTCCCCTTTGTCCCGAGTTTTTAGGGTTCAGCATTGCGGTTACGCACCCGAAGCAGGCTAATATGTACCGAAAACAAATACATTAAATTTAACCGGAGAGAAAAGACAATACTCCATGTTGACGTTAATGGGGAGCAACGTTCCGCCATCGATTTGACATTCGACGTCGGGAGACAAGAGCGTGACTAAAGAAAGCCCAACCTTTCTCCTCAGTGGAGTGTACCGCGCTGGACCGGCCTGTATGAAGAAAAATTTCGCGCAACCTGAAAGCCTTGTAACCCTATGGAACGAGAATAGGCAGTCTATAAATCGCTCAAGCCAATATATTTACAGCAACTTAGGCCGACACTACCGGGAAGCGCCGAATTGGAAACCATTAAACATAGGCAAATAACAAAGCTAAGGCTATCGCAACTGAAAAAGAGCGAAATTACAAAGCTCGAGGAATGCGAAACTACGAGAGGTGAATCGTTTATTTGTACAACATTTGCTAATATATGTATACACTGTTCAGAAAGCAAGGCAGCTAAGCGAATGAAGGATCTTTGCTTAAGAAACTTATAGAGTGACTATCGGTCGATATATCGGCTGGCTTGACACAAGCCAATCCCTTTTTATTGCTGGACATACGTCTTCCAGTTATTTTCTCCGACCTCTCGATAACTAAAACTTTTTCGATTTCCCTTGATAATTGGAACCTGAATAACTCTCTGGAGCCCCTGTTTTATTAAAACTATAGTCCCACTGAAACTTTGAATTCAATCAATCTTATTAGTCAGGGGCACCCAACGACCGAATGTTTCCAAATACGCCAGAAGTGTCTCAAATGGTTTTCTCTGTTCTTTAGAAGCCTCTTTAGTTAATTTGGGGTTGCCCTAAAAACTATTTATCTGTTGGGATGCCTTAGGCGAACTTTGGTCGTCACGAAAGTTTTAGGTGGCTTTTTCGTCTAATCCGAAAGTGTTAGCTACCCTTATGGGTCCGGTCGAAAGTACGAGGACATGAAATAGCCGTGCTTTGGTTCGAAAATTTTAGGGAATGTTTTGTCTTTGCACCGAAAGTTTTGGGAGACCTTTTTTAAACAATAATCGCAATATCTTGGTATTAAAATGTGACTGACACAACCTCCGAAAATCGTAGTTAAGCTATCAGAAAACGTTCTTTATATTTTAGACGAATGGAACGGTTATCCAGAAAGTTTTAGCTTTTCACAAGTGTTAGAAATTTCTAGTCAATATTTGCTCCTTCGAACAGTTATTTTACGGAAAAAAGTCGCTGGGTGTCCCTGATTAGTGACCACAACTCCATTTTCCTTCAAGTCACAATATTATTATTGGTGTTCTTGTCAATTGAGAGAATGTTAGCTCTTTCCAAGAGAGCCGTAAGGTCCAGAGGGGTTCAGTTTTTCGTGGGAACATTCAAAACTGTATTAAAAACTACTTTTTTGTGGTAACCTATTCAAAATGGTTATTTCGATCACGCTATCACTGTGTTACATTTCTGTTGCGCAGCCCTAAAGAAGACAACAAGATCGGCTTACGGTATATGATACAGTCGAACCTCCATGAGCGACCAACTCTCCACCTCTCGTAAGCGACCACCTCCTACAAGCGACCGCCAGTCCAATATACCAAAATTTCCCCAGTCAAAGCCTTACCGTTGGAACCTCTAGTAGACGACCACCTCCTGCAAGCGATTGCGACCGCTTTTTGGCCTGACGGTTAATGATATCCCATTGTTTTTAACCTGTTGTAGGCGACCACTTGACGCATTCTCTGATCTCTATGTTCGCTGTGTGCGCTATGCTACTAAGAATATACGAAGAATTTTAGTGACAACATGGAACTACACCTGGCTTAACTTGACATTGCATGGAATAAATATCTTCCATAAAGTAGATGTGTCCGGACCACTTCTCAGAGAGACCCTCTGTGGTTCGATTCCTGTAGGCGACCACCTCCCGTAGGCGACCACTCAGTCTTTGGATTTTTGTGTGGTCGCTTACGGGAGGTTCGACTGTACGTCTTAAAAATATCTTTACTCAGTACTTTGAGTCTAGCTCGAAAAGCTACCCTTTCCGTACTTTCGCTTCCGCCGAGCACCGGATAATATTTTACCAGGCTTGTAACAGGATCGCATGATGGTTTTAAGTTTCCGGTTGCATGAAATTAACGAGGAAAGTTTCTACACATTTCACTTCAAAACATTACAGACACCTCACCATGCAGAACATCGTGCCTCGATGTTTCAAAGGCGCGAGAACTGCGAAAAAATTGCATCACGAACAAGGGTTTAGCTCTAGTGGTGGAGCGTTGGCAGATATGAGATGAGCAGGAGGTCGCCGAGTCGATCGCATGAGCTAACTATTACTCGGGGTTTTAAAGTTACTGAGTAACAAGGTAATGTCTTCTTTACTGTCTTTTCTGTCTTTTTTCTCCCTCTCTACAGATAGACCATTGCGTGACCCGATTGAGCTTGTAGAAAAAGTGGTTCCTTTTCTAACGGAGGACGTGAAAGAGTAAAGTAGAACAGTATACTTTATAGACAACAATTTATAGCGGGAAGTTTTCCCTATCCCAAGGAAATGCCCACATGATATCCTTTATAGAATGATGTTGTAAGAAAAATATCAGAAAGTGACTGGGTTTATAAATGTTTTTAAAGAAGCAGACGGTTCGGGTCTGCATATTTTCTGTTACACTTACCGCCTATTATAGTCCCCAAATTGTGTTGTTGTTTTGTTGTGTTTGAAATACCCCGGGTAAGCAAACATTAATATGTTTCAAAGAGTGGAAGTTTTTTACCTTTACACATAAAACATCGTTCGTTGTACTTTCTTTCTTTCTTCGTTTTACTTTCATCATTAGTTAGTACTTTCTGCGTAACATTCTACACCATTCATGTATTAATGGTTCTCCCCTCGCCTTCAAATCACCAGTCGAAGTTAAATTTGCCTAGTTTTCTCGTCATCGAGTAGCAGCAGAGTTTCTTCATTGTATATTTTCGTCAAGTATTCGGCCAATGCACTGAATTAATTATTAAATGATGGCTACGAGATAGAAAGGGACACTTAAAGCCTATTTCAAAAATGAAATAAATCTTCCCACCAGGTTTTAACAGCACCTATGCATTTCACCTGATTTTTTTTTTTTCATTTTTAGGGGCTGGAGAATAGGGAGGGCAAAATTTAATTGTTAACATGAATTATTTTTGTTCTTGTCTTAGTTATCGAAATACCCTTTATTGACCTATCCACTTATCTAAATTACCTACCCGCTTGATTAAATCTATACCGTTCGATTAACGTCTTCTATTCCTAGTCAGGCCAGCAATTTCGACAGCTATCGGCTTGCTTGTCGATCCTAAAATTTGACTCGAGTAATGTATTTCAGTTCCATACATTTTGGGTGCAGAAACAGTAATTTCCTCTATGGAAGCTTTATCATTGTTATCTTTTCCTTCCGCTATCTTTCCTACAATTCTAGTGCCGGAATCATTTCCTTCTGAGTTTTTTCTGCCGCCACCAACTCTCCAAGTTGAGCTTCCTTCCCAACTACCACCTTCTCCAGCTGCACCACCACTAGCCGTAGCCCCATCGCCTCCTCCCGCTGCTCCACCACCACCACCACCAGTTGCCCAACCACCTCCTCCTACAGCCGCTCCACCACCTCCAGCACCAGCTGCTCCTACGCCGGCTGCCCCTCCACCTCCTCCTTCAGCTGCTCCACCACCAGCTGCCCCGCCGCCTCCTCCTCCAGCCGCTCCACCACCACCAGCACCAGCTACTCCACCGCCAGCTGCACCACCACCGCCTCCTCCTGCTGCTCCACCACCAGCTGCACCTCCACCTCCTCCTCCAGCCGCTCCACCACCACCAGCACCAGCTGCACCACCACCGCCTCCTCCCGCTGCTCCACCACCAGCTCCTCCTTCAGCCGCTCCACCACCTCCAGCTCCAGCTGCTCCACCACCAGCTGCACCTCCACCTCCTCCTTCAGCCGCTCCACCACCTCCAGCTCCAGCTGCTCCACCACCAGCTGCACCGCCGCCTCCTCCTCCAGCCGCTCCACCACCTCCAGCACCGGCTGCTCCACCACCAACTGCACCTCCACCGCCTCCTCCCGCTGCTCCACCACCTCCAGCTCCAGCTGCTCCACCACCAGCTGCACCTCCACCTCCTCCTCCAGCCGCTCCACCACCACCAGCACCAGCTGCACCACCACCACCTCCTCCTGCTGCTCCACCACCAGCTGCACCTCCACCTCCTCCTTCAGCCACTCCACCACCAGCTGCACCTCCACCTCCTCCTCCAGCCGCTCCACCACCAGCAGCACCAGCTGCACCACCACCGCCTCCTCCCGCTGCTCCACCACCAGCTGCACCTCCACCTCCTCCTCCAGCCGCTCCACCACCTCCAGCTCCAGCTGCTCCACCACCAGCTGCACCTCCACCTCCTCCTCCAGCCGCTCCACCACCTCCAGCACCAGCTACTCCACCGCCAGCTGCCACTCCACCGCCTCCTCCCGCTGCTCCAGCACCAGCTGCACCTCCACCTCCTCCAGCCGCTCCTCCACCCCCAGCTCCAGCTGCTCCACCACCAGCTGCACCACCACCGCCTCCTCCCGCTCCACCACCCTCAGCTCCAGCTGCCCCACCACCTGCTGCACCTCCACCGCCTCCCCCAGAGGCCACGCTTTTACCTCCTTTTTCTTCACTCTTGCTGACGCCGGCAGAAGGAGGAAGTCCCAGTTGATTTGTTAACCAAGATGGAAGCCAGAGTTTTGGCCCTTCTCCTGGTGGTGGAGGTGCTGGAACAGGCTTAGCTACAATCAATGTAGGCACCATCCAGACATCTTCTAGCTTTTTTCCTCCAGGGTTGCAACAACAAGGACAACATGGTGGCATCATGCAAGACTGAGGTTGACAAGGAAAACAGTCGGAGCACGAGCAACCGCAAGCCGCGGGATTAAAACAACTACTTCCAGTCCCACCACAAGGCATAAAGCAGACGAACCCACTCTGTTCTGAAGAATCTCCAGACTTATCCTTCTCCTTTGACTCACTTTCTCTGTCTTTATCTTTATTTTTCTTTGAATTACTTTCGATGCCAGGGGCGTGCTTATTTTCACCTTCCAAGTCACTTCCTGACCTCTCATCACTACTGTCGTCGTTTTCCTTTTCATTTAGGCTTTTCAGTGCATTTTCTAAAACCAAGTACAATCGTTTAAAGTACTCCCTTGAAATCTCATGAGTTGGGCCGTTAGGCGTTTCCTCTTCACTTCGTTTCGTAACAGAAAACCCATTGCCATTTCTTTCTACTATCAAAATGGATCTTGGAACGTGCTTCAGATTATTTGAAACCTTGAGAACTAATCCATTAAAATCCTTGTTTTCTTGCAACAGTTTATAGAAGTTAAAGTATTCGTTGATAAAAGAATTGTTGATATTTTCCTTGGTAAATGCTATATCTTTGAATGATGTTAGTACCACCAAAAACGTGAACACTTTAAACATGTCGCTCCATTGGCCTTCCTTTTTCTGTCTATTTGTCTCATATTTTTTTCTGTCGATAACCAAATGATTTAAGCGATACCATATGCAGCGATCCCTGAGTTATATGTCAAATTAATAAGTGGAAGTTAAAAGAAATCTCAAGAGCTTTTACCACCATGTTGTAAAGTGCTGTTGAACAATTAAGTTGGCAGGTTATAGTATTATCAAATCGCAACTTATGGTTAATAATGTATACCCATTGGGGTCACTATATCTTCGTTTTAAGTACACCCCGAAAACTTAAGAGATTTTCTAGGTGACCTCCAAGCCAGCAAGTAACTATGATACTCACTTCATTGAAACCTAAATGAGATTTAAATGACTTTTTTATTTATACTTCATAGCACTGAAAGAAGGAGAATATAATGCTCTCTGACAATGACTCTAGAAATTAGCATGCCTTTCTAAAACAGTGAGACCCCAATGTAACAAGAGCTTAAAAAGGATCTAAAAAATTCTTCGTTACAACGGGAGTAACTGATATTGGGGTGTTATTCACTTCGCTTTATTTCAACTGCTGGGAGAAGAATATTTGTTGTAGTAGGGTGTTTGTCGTATAGGGGTTTTTTAATCGGGATTTCACACTTGTATTTTGGAAGTTCTATCTTGAGCTGGCCTCTACCATTATGTAATGCAAAATAAGCTGAATAAATCGCTAAGTTTGTCACATCAGTGCTTCTGTTTAATATAACGTTCAATTAATTTTTATAACATTCGTGTAGTGGACCGTCATCGATCGTTTATAGATGGATTTTCAGTTATAACCTGCCAATGATTTTCCGCCTTTTCGATCGCTTTAACTAGCATTTGTGAATTATAGATAGATCATCGACTGTTTTGAAATGGACATTTTAAGACGCGACCAGAATTAGAATGAGTTCCTCCTTATTACTTTTAATCCCTATTTAAAACTCTTCGTGACGTAGGAAGTTGTTCTCTACACATTTAACGAACCACTTTGTTCGACAAACCCCAAGAAATAAGTCAGTACTCCTCAGTAAGTTCATTGTTAAAAGTGTTTATCGTTTTTTCCTACCAAGGCAGATGCCATAAAGGGGATTGCCACATTTTGTTTTCGCCTTTAGAGCTCGCATCTTAAATTTGGGTGGCTTATATTTTACCCTGTACATAATCATTGGACGCATGAGACAACATCCTCGGCAGCCGCATGGGCAAAAGCAAAGAGACGGAGTCGATTTTGGCTTTGGCTCTGATCTCTGAGACTTATCTTCCTGTTTTGAAGCAACTCCGTTGTGGTGATCAGAGTCTAATTTCTCCAATGTACCTAAGGCGCTCTGTAAAAGTTTACAAACTTTCTTAAGCTTGACTTTATCCACTGTTCTAGCGAATCCACGGTCCGTCGATCCTTGTTGCTCCGTGTTTCCATTTCCTTTTTCAATGTATAAGGTCGTTTCGTTGAAACCAGTTTTGCTTGTCGACGATTTCAAGCCATTCAAAATATCAGCCACCTTTTTCGCACGGAACCCCCTTAAGTAAACCAATGCTATACATTGGTCAGGTATATTCATAATGACGCAGAAAAACAACAGTGATAATAGAAGTCGATTATTTCCCAGATTCGACCAATTTGTTTTAAGTAGCATTGTCTGATCGACAAATTATCTTAAGTGATCCTGAGGCAAGATAAGCGAAGTCCAAGAATTTGCTTTGTTTTATTTAACAGCAGGTTATTCGGGTTGTTCTATCACTAGAGACAATGGCCTGAACTACCAAGTGGTAATCAATGAATTCAAAATAACGCATTCGTTTACACTAATTAATCACGTAAAGCGTCCTAAAATTGCTTTAGGAGTACAAAATGTAACCATACGTAGGCTTCAATTATGTGGAGTAAAACGACAACCGTTTCAACATGAGCAATCTCTTTAAGGCATTTTTCCCGCAGAAAAAAGGGTTAAAAAAGAATTAGATTTATCAATTAGAATGATTAAAAATTAAATGATCTTATAATTATGACACACCTAGATTAGGAAGTGTTCTTTCAAAAGGGCAACAAAAAATTGGTTTTTTATTTGGAGCTTCAAAAATTAATTATCAGCCACTGAAAAACTGAGTAAGAAATGTATGGCCTCCTTTTACCTTCTTCCCAAAGTCATCTTTTGCACCAGCATAAATCTATAGAGAGAAGATAAACCGTGATCGATCTTTTATTGCGGATTTTTTCGATCCCCAATCAAGATTTATGCGTGGGTAGCGTTATCCTCTGTTAAAATAAATAGGATGGCCTGGGTGTCTTTTAATACTAAGTGAACGTCTACCATCATTTTTCAGGAATGTCACATTGAGCAAGGGTTGTTTACAGTGACATCGAAGACGCAGGGGAATGTTATGCCAGGACAGCAGCCGGCGTTGCACCCACTGCAGGTTATTGGTGGATAGAAACCTCCTTTACAGTTGGAGCACATGGTTCCACCCGCCCACCAGTCATTTGGACAACTGCAACATCCACAACATCCCTCACAAGACTGGCGTCTCCCTAAAACTGAATGAAGTATAGATAGGGTAAGAGTGAACGGCAAATAGTAATCTTTCTCACTAACCATCTTTTTACTGTATACTGTCCTTTTTGTTAACACCATAACCTCATGGCACGACTGTAATGATGACATTATATCAATAGGAGACCGAAATTAGAGAAGGCCTCCATTAGGCAACAAATTGGCCACATGCATTTCTGTTCATTGTGAGTCATATAATCCCGGGAAACCCAGATACATCTCAAACATCACAGGGTGGGCCAGGTCCTAGATCAGAGCATAACAACCGCTCGAGGAAGCTAAGTTTCAAGCCTCCCACTCAGACGTTTGTAAGGGCCAAAGGAACGTATGTCTGCGTGGGAGGCTACTGCAGTAAAGGGAAGAGGACTATTATGTTGCCCCTGCAATCTTAAAGTGGATAATTTTAGATCTGCAAACAAATTGAATTGAAGAGTGAGCGGTATGGCTGATTCCCTAAAGTTGATTGATGTAACCGGCAGGCTTCAGGCAGGTATGATTTTAATAATTGCTACCGCCACCTTATATCTTTAATATACTTATTAATACGTGTTTTTCCATAGTGGTTCAAATGGGGTAACCTACAGAATAATGGGTAGAATGAACAAAGGCGTGTGTTAGGAACGCTAGGAAATCTATCACATTCAGCATAAGACAATTTTTCTCTCTTTTTTTGATAGACTTAATCCAACGGTCAAAGTATCATTAAGAAGATAAAACGAATGATTAGATTTCAGGCGGGATAACTGGGGTGTCAATGGACCACAGAATATTGAGATTTTTAACAACGAAACAGCTCGCGTGATTTTTAAAAACACACCCAAGCCACACACTCACTAGATACTACATACTAGCTTCAAACGATCAGAACTATGAATAGGCTCGACCTGAAATGCCATTTATGTGTGGAGTATTTTTTAAAGTCAACTATATTTCATATGAAAAAGGGTTGACGTACTGGGAATGAAAGAGTTAAAAAGGAATAAGCTGAAAGGAAAAAACGCACACAAATGATATTCAAATTTTGAATTGATTTATTGTTCAACATTTCAGTAATTCATACAATCAATTCGTGTTATTGTTTGTATGTATCTCCTTGGAATCGTATTCCGCTTTGTGAAGTCTTCACTTCTTCTATGGTCCTTACAGGCTTACTTCCTTGATTTAGGGGCCATTAAGCTGCCAAGTACAAGAAATCCCAGTTTTCCATGTATGTACGTCATCTAAAGAAAGCGGGAACATATTTTTCTGCATCATCAGCGGACAGTATAGTTCTAAGCATTTTCTAAACAATTATTGCATGAGGTTTATGTGACATCCGGAATAATCAAGGCCTAAGGTTGCATCGTATTTTTTTGAAGAAAATTAAGAAGAAACACAGCATCGCATGGAACACAGTTTGCATGCGCAACCTACAGATTAGTCACTAATATGCAAACAGAGGACTAACTGGCCCCGGTTGTTCAAACGTTGGATAGCACTATCCAGCGGACAAATCACTATCCAGCGGATAACGCAATTGTTTCCCGCAATACGTATCCGCTGGATAGTGATTTATCCGGTGGATAGCGCTATCTAGCTTTTGAACAACCTGGGCCTGATCTGTAAGTTGCGCTGATTTCCAAAATTGTAGGCTCTTAGCCAATGAGAAGACAGATGGTGACTAAAATAATAATAATAATAATAATAATAATAATAATGATAAAATTAATAATAATTATAACAGCAATATGTTGTTACCTCCTATCTTGCTTTGTGTTTGGCAGTAAGGGGGAAAAGATATAGGAAGACTATGGTCTATATTCATTTTGAGTATTATAAGTACTTTTTTATCTTTAATGCTACCTGGTGAGGGAGGCGTTTGTTTGAATCGGAAGTCTAGTTGCCCAGTGTTTGTTATGGAGGTATTTTTCATATTCAATTTGTATCTTTAGTAAGTAAAGCTTATCATCACCCTGCCTGAAGGGCAGCGCTATCGAGAGACGATCCTAAAGAGTTTCTACAATAAAAATGAGGGAATCTAAACAGGATGAGGTTAGAGCAAGAGTGAATGGGGAGACTACAGATTATTGTTCAGTAATGTCATTTTGCAAGTTTTTGTCTAGTTTACACAGACATGTCAATGAATTTACCTTTAAAATCTTTTTAAAATAACCTCGGAAAAACCATCCTTGGAGCATTATAAAAGAAAGGGTTGTAGGATGCTGCATAGTCATGCCTAAATGTAGCTGCCATGAGTCTGGCCGACCGTTCCTTCATCAAACTTCGTTTCACAGGACCTTTACCTGCGTAACAGGGAATAAAGGATACTAAAGTTAATTGGATACTAAGACATTTATAGGAGGTTTTATTCAAAGCCTTTTACAGGAACACAGATACATATTTTCCATCGATCTCGTCGGCGTTTTGCTTTATCTTGCTGTTGTAAAAAACCTTATTATAGAATGAGTAGTTTTGCTTATTTGTGGGAATGTAATAATCTGCTACATACCTGTTCTTCTGAAACAATGTGATCCACAAGCAGTGTGATGACTGTGTGGTGAAGGGCAGTGGCAAACGGGCTCGGGTTTCAGAGGTTTGAACTCAAACTTTGGAGGAGTGCAGGTGCAGCAGCAAGGCCACATGCATGGCCATTTACATTGTCCAGGTGGAGTCTTCTCCTTGCAGCATTCACAGGCAGGGTTGTTGACAGTAGCACCGAAAGCACAAGGAAAAGTAAGACTTGGGCAACAGCCAGTGTTACAACCCGAGCAAGTGATTGGGGGACCGAAACCTCCTTTACAGTTTGAGCACATGGTACCAGGAGCGCACCAGTCATTTGTACCGCAGCAGCTAGGTCCACAACCACATCCACATCCACCACATCCGCCTGGTCCGTAGACTCCTCCATGAGCTCCACCGCAGCCTCCCATATAATCACAGCCGCCAGAATCAAAGGCATCTCCACAACCTCCACATCCACATCCACATCCACACCCACATCGCTTTGCTATAACAAGGGAAAATATATAAAGAAATAAAACACAATTAAACAAATACGATACCACTAAATCATATCAGTAAAAGGCTTATTTGGCAAGGTCTAAACATTTAATTATTGGAGTTTTCCAGCCTATAGTATATTTGTCATCGATCCCTGACTTTTCTTTTGAAATTAAATGAAATACTTTCGACAAGTTAAAGCTTGTCTGAAAGAGAAGAATCCCAAGCAGATTTAGGTTAAAGCATCGTAATAAATAATAATTTGCACAATCCGTTTTCTCTCCACCCTTCGACTTAATTCTACGCGGTAACTTTTAACGACACCGAAAACTGACGCAAATGATTTCAAATTAAATTCCTTAACAGACGATACATACATATCAATAAATAAAGAGTATTTGTAAATAAAACTACTTCTTCACAATAACGTTTAAAAAGCAACAGGAGTTTTTTACCATTTATATGGAATCCAGTTCTCCCATTTGAACTGTAGGAATCGACATGCATTAGTTTTTATCTTACTATACAAAGATTGAACCGTAACTATTTGTAGCAAACTCTTTATTTCGATATTTTAAGTAGATATTACAGAATACAATAACTTAAGACGGGAGCCAACAGCAAGAATAAAATTTTTTCACTCTTCTTTCTCTTTTCCCTCAATTTTGTCCTCTTCTTTTTCAATGTTATTCTCCCAGTCCTTTTGCCCCTTCGTATCCATGCCGGTTTGAACATTGATTGACACCTGTTAGATGAAATCATCAATCAATCAATCAATCAGTGAATCAAACTTTATTTATAGAGAGTAACACCTAATAGTTAGACAACTAATAAACTTGTGGCCCTCTTAATTAGTAATATTATAATATAAATATTACAAGAAAAAAGAAATACATAAGAGACTAAGATATAAAAACTAAACTAAAAGATAAGTACATATTACTGCATAATCGAAAAATTATTATCTAGAAAAGGAGTATAAATTCTATCCCTAAAATGACTTAATTGTATCCCTTAACTGACTCAATTTAATTTGTTTCTATTTGTTTATAAAGATAAAAACCGAGCAAACATCTGCTTGCGTCGGTAATTTTGGTACACTATGTCGATTCAAGAAAAAATATGCCGTATTTAGGGACATTTTTATATTCAGGCAAGCTTTTGCTCCCTTAAAGGAAGAGGAAGTTCGTCCACGTCCTAGACTTTCTGCCCTTTACCTTTGCTCCTGAATGTTCAGACGTCTTCGGAGCTTGCATGAACGCTTGTGGTCTAATGGGAAAGCCGTTTACTGTTGGAAAGCTGAATGGAGAATATCCTCCTGGGAATAAACGGCCAATGAATGAAGAGCTGCTTCCTGGAAAGAAACCATGTCCTGGTGGAACGGGGTGCGACATGAATGCAGGATAACCAGCGGCAAATTGCCGTTCATCGGATTGGGGATAGTCTTCAGAGCCCTGGAAATCGTTGTTATCTTCTGTGCGCGATTCCGCGTTAACCTCAGGGTTGCCCACTGAGAAAAAGTGCCGATAGTTTGGAAAATGGTTACTTGGAAGAGGAAGAACATTGAGTGGAGTATAAGCCTGTGGAGATACACCTCCTGTCATTACACGCATCATATTACGTTTGAAGGGGGCTTGTACATGTTGGCCTGTGATAAAGTAAGAGAGGAAAATATGAGCAAAAAAATATACATATCATAAAATATAGGGTTAATAGAATTTGATTCGTTAAAATGTATCCAAAATTGCTTAAAATGTATGTTATTTTCACTAAGATATGTAAGGTATGCTATTCAATTTCAAAGCTTTAATCTTAACGTAACGTTCGATTTCGAATTTAATCGGGAAAGGTCCTCGACTCTAACATTGCTAAGTTATTTATTTTCAGAGCTCTAGAGTAGCAGAGGATATTCTATTTGTTAATTACTTGCGGGTTTTGAGAAAAATAATATAACAAGACGTACTGGATTTTTTGTGACTGTGTCCTCTGCGATGACAGTGAGAATGACATACTGGCTTTGGCTCCAAGGGCTTGAACTTAAACTCAGGCATCTTACACTGACAGCAACATGGCCACATGCATGGCCACTGACACATTCCTTTGGGTGGTTTCTCCTTACAACACTCACAGACAGGATTGTTCACGGAAGCACCAAACGTGCATGGGAAAGTGAGACCTCCGCAGCCACCACAACATCCACCTCCACAACCAATGGGAGGACCAAAACCACCCTGGCAGTTGTGGCACATGGTTCCATCAGCGCACCAGTCACCACATCCACCAAATCCACCATATCCTCCAAAGCCGCCATATCCGCCAAAGCCGCATCCGAATCCAAAATGGCGCTTTCCTGTTAAAATAACCAAATTGATTTAACGTACAATGTACAGATTAATAACAAATTACAGACTGATAAAATCTCTTCTACAGACTTCGTAACGGTATAAACAAGGAGAATTTTGCTACATACTCTCTAATTTCTTCGTTCTATGATTAACTTAAAAAGTATTAATATGGTTAATTATAATTTCGGTGGAGAATAATCACGAGTTTAGTTTGGACAATTGGCGATTAGGTTTATATTGTTCTGATTATTATTATTATTATTATTATTATTGTAACTAATATTATTTTTCTACTTTTATTACCATATTGTTTATTTTCTAGTATTTTTTACATTTTCTTACAGAGATTATGCAGAGTAAGTCATTAAGTCAATTTTATGTCAGATCTTAAGCAGGCTTTAATATGTTAAGAGAAAAATGGTTTAGTGAAGAAGTGGTTAGCAGAATGAAATGTAACATTATGACTGATACGTAATACATGTACCTTGTGAGAGTGGAATGATGGTGTCTCTTCTATCCGGCATGGCGGCCATGAGTACACTGTAACTTATGAGTGTGGGGCGTGTTTCCATGAGCGAGTAACTCAACTCCTGTGTACTTCATGAATTTAATGTTGGTGTATAAATATGAAGTGAAGGCTAATCGAAACACTAAAAACCACACAAAAAGCTCATTCATTTCATAAACATTTTATTTCACATTTCATCGTCAAGTGTATAAGCTTTTTAAAGCTGTTGCAATTTTTCTAAAATATAATAGAGTGTTCGTAATTTAGGGAATATAAATCCTTTGGGAACAATTTTTGTCAACAGAGCTAACACGACTCATTCCTCCATCTTTCATCATTCACAAGATGCCCTCATCTGAAAAAAAATACCAGAAAATTAATGATTATAAAAAGTGACCAAAGTTTCTAACAGATTGTAGCCGTACAAAAAAGCTAGAGGCCTAAGCACAAAATGCCTTGCGATAAAAGAAAGAAATTTATATGTGCGTACATAAAAATTCAGTGAATCTCTTCTCGAATAAAGATAGCAAACCAAATAGCAAAACGATGTCTTGTGAAAAAGTAAAATCAGATTGACCTTATCTTATGAAGCCATTTACCAGATTGAATGAGCTTTTTAACATTTTAATATTTTATTTAACGTGTCTTGTCTTGTTACCTTCCTTGAAAGAGAAAGTAGGCTCATTGGGCTCATCTTAGTACGGCATATTCGGTAGTGTGTTGTAGAATGGACTGATGATTGGTGCATAACCATAACTGTACGGCGTCGGTAGGAAAGCAGAGGGGCCTTCATTCAAAAGGCTTCGCTTTACCGGTCCTTTACCACCTGAGTATAAGACAAAAGGATATCGTTCAAGAGACTAACTCCAAATAGGGATATCAATTTCAATTTCAGTCGCAATAATTCATTTCCTTCTTGCAGTTGCTCCCTTAAATGGCTGTTAAAATGAATGAGTTTTTCTCAATGCGTCCCACTGCATTCATATGGTTGTGCTAGCAAGCGTTTCTTACAGAAGCTAAAAAAATTCCTTTGGGGAAGAAGAAGCTGTTTTTCTTTGTTGAAAACATTAGTAACAAGGTGCATACTCTTTGACTTTAAACACTGAGATCCAGAGGCTGCGTGGTGATTGTGTGATATTGGACAGTACAATGTGGGTATTTGTGAGAGTCTCAAACCTGTTCTTTTCAGGCAGTGGTGTCCGCAGGCTGTGTGATGGCTGTGTGGAGAAGGGCAGTGGCAGACAGGTTCTGGTTTCAGTGGTTTGAACTCAAACTTAGGTGGAGTACAGGTGCAGCAGCAAGGCCACATGCATGGCCATTTACACTTTCCCGGCGGGGTCTTCTCCTTGCAACATTCGCATCCAGGATTGTTGACAGAGGCACCAAAGACGCAAGGGAATGTTATGCCGGGGCAGCAGCCGGTATTACAACCTCCGCAGGTTATAGGTGGGTAGAAGCCTCCTTTGCAGTTAGAGCACATGGTTCCACCAGCACACCAGTCATTTGGACCACAACAGCCTCCGCACCCCATATCACCACATCCACAACACTGTCGTTTTACTGAGAAATAATAGAAGCAATATTAATTTTGAGCATTTTTTGAAGGCTGTTTTTTTCCTGAAAAACTGATATTTTACTGGTGTTATTCTGTTTAAATCAAATCAACTACTTACTACGGTAATATATTGTAATTTAATCAAATAAGAAGAAGTATACCTCAAGGGGACTGTAAGGTTGTTGGTTGTCGTCGAATGCTGCCGTACCTTTTGAGAGATTTCTAATTTCGCGACAAACAAGAGATGTTATCGCCAAGTTCCATCGAAATTAGACAGCCAGGGATAAAAGGAAAAAGAATGCTCAGCTCAAACTCTTTAACATTGTCTTGATTCCTTCGAAAATACTACGCATCATTTGGGAAAGCAGCGAGAGTTCCGCATGTTTGCTTCTCCTATAACCTTGTTGAATTAATGTATCGAAGTGATGGAGCAAAAATGGTCATTTGCGTGGGTAAACGCAATTGATATCTCAAGTAAATTCGTAATTTGCACTAAAAGCGAATATGAGAATAGCGGAAGGAATGCGATTAAATCCATCGTCTTGATATGGGGATCATCGGGAGTTAGATGGTAGCGATGCCAGACACATAAAATCATGTTAAATTTTTGTTCAATTTATTGACCAAATTTGTCATTAAAAATGTGTAAATAATCATTCGTTACATATGACGATATTTCCTCTCAATGTGTTATTTCCTTAGAATTTAAATGTTCAGCTTGGAGAGACGATCGTCCATTCTTTTTCCTCATTTTATGAAAATTTCTCGTTTAGACGGAGGCCAAACTTTTGTTTCCTCTGAACGATGGATGTCCCTTGCATTCATTTATTTTGATGTCATATCTAAAAGGAAAGCGGAAAGACATTGACGCCGGGTTAATTATTTATAACAAACCAAAAAAAGTCACAGGGCATTGAGACAAAGAAAACTCCTTTACTATAAATCTTCTAACAATCGTCTCGCTTAGACTCATAATAGGCTTAGTTAGTCGTAACAGGTAATTAATAAAGTGAAGCTTGGTGCTGGACAAATTATTTTCTTGACAGTTATCCTCACAGACAAAACATCAATCATCATTACCATCATCCTCATCCTTATCGTTGGTATTATTATCCTTATCATTATTATGAGTCAATAAATGACAAACAATCAAGGCAGAATGCTAAGATTTGCTTGCCTACCTTTCAGATGCTTTTAAAATGGTCTTGGGTAAGGCATCATTGGAACACCATAGTAGAGTGCATTGTAGAATGGTGCATAGCCATAACTGTGGGGAAACTGCATATAAACAGAAGGCTGTTCTTCCATTAAGCTGCGTTTAACTGGGCCACGTTTAGCTGAGGACAGCAGAAATGGTACAAGTTAATACAGAAGAAATTGATAAATTTGTAACTTAGCATGAAGCTTATTACATCTGTGTACGAGAGTAGATAAACATTTTGTCGAGATTCAAACCTGTTCTTTTCAGGCAGTGGTGTCCGCAGGCTGTGTGATGGCTGTGTGGTGAAGGACAATGACAAACAGGCTCGGGTTTCAGAGGTTTGAACTCAAACTTAGGTGGAGTACAGGTGCAGCAGCAAGGCCACATGCATGGCCATTTGCACTTTCCAGGCGGTGTCTTCTCTTTGCAGCATTCGCATCCTGGATTATTGACAGTAGCACCGAAAGCACAAGGGAAAGTAAGACTTGGGCAACAGCCAGTGTTACATCCTGAGCAAGTGATGGGAGGACCAAAACCTCCTTTGCAGTTGGCGCACATAGTACCAGCAGCGCACCAGTCATTTGTACCGCAGCAGCTAGGTCCAGCACCACATCCACATCCACCACATCCGCCTCCTGGTCCGTAAACACCTCCAGGGGCTCCGCCGCAGCCTCCCATATAGTCACAGCCGCCAGAATCAAAGGCATCTCCACAACCTCCGCAGCCTCCACAACCTCCACATCCGCATCTCTTCTCTGTAACAAAGAATGGAAAACAAACAAATGAATAAGTGTATGAATGAATCTCAGGACAGATCCAAGAAAGCCGATTTGGAATAGCTATCAAGAACATTAAATGTTTGAGTTTACCAGAATTTAATAGATGATGTGAAAATGCTTACAGGTTTATTCAAGACAAGATACATGATATACAAAGCGATCGTTTTGATTAACAATTATGCCGATCAAGTAGAACATGCAGTTAAACTGCAAGTTAAATAACTGAACCAAAGGTAAACGTTTTGTGTTTATTTTATTTTTCTAAGATTTAATTTACTCTAATGTAATGGAATTTACTTTAATGTATAAATTTCTATTGTTAAAACTACTAACTTAAGTTTTTCTTTGCTTTATTTTTAACAAACTATAACCCGGTCTTAGAATCTTAATAATTTTACTAATTTTATAGTTTCTTAAAGTGTCTCAATTTAACAAACTAATTATCTAAAACGTCCAGCAGGTCACTAATAGATACAGCATCATTGTATTTCATTTCAGCAGGCGGCAGTTTGTTCTTCAATAGCACCCTGCAAGAAAGTCGAAGGAAAATGGCTACGTGAACAGCTATCCCATTAAGTACCATTTCACAAAAGGGAAAGAAAGAAGAGAAAAATGAATGAAAGAAAAGAAACGAAGACAAAACTTTTCCTCCTTTCTTTTCTTCGAACCGAAAAACGCACTACATACAACTTTCAAATTTATCATATAAGCTAAAAAGGCCATCTATAAAACAAGATTTTGTTGCTTATGAGAAAAGAATCTGCTATATTCAATCTAAAAGATAAAAATGAATGCCACTTATAGACGACATAACAACCATTCTTTTAAATTTCCCTTTCATACAAATGAGTCGAGTTACTCATTCAATTTTACACTAGGCCAGTGCTGGTAACAAATTTCATGTAACTTCATGATGATGCTGATACAAACCTCTTGCGATAAATAAATCTGCGTCCCACTTTAGAAGTAGTAATAAGGGTAGCTTGGCAGTAAGGGTGCTCCATAATAAAGAGGTAAGACGGGATTGAAGACGTAAGGCAATGGCTCAATATTCTCGATCTGGGGAAGAAAGCATCGCTTTTTACAGCCTCCTAAAATAGGTAGTGAAAAAGCAAAGCAACTGTCAGCAGTAAATTCTTACTCATGGGCGATATAAGGGGCCCCCGAAATATGAAGCAGAAGTTGTCTGTTAAGTAAGTAGTACGAGTGTTCTGCGTATATAGGTTGCTGAAAATAGGTACTTACGGGGCTCGGTAGTTGTCTCTTATTGCAACAATTATCTGCCCAAAAATCTGAATCCTTAGTGGCTCTCCCAAAACGAAAAAACGCAGGCTATCTACATCAGGCATGGAGAAGACCATTTGCTAGGTTGTCTACTTCTAGCATGGAGAAGAACCTTTGCTATGGGTAATTCAAGATTCCGACCCTTGAATTTCGAAAAGTGTTTTGATAGTTACCTGCGCGTTTTCGACGACAGCAATGGCAGCAGT